AAGTTCCCCCGAGACCTCCAATTTCCAGTCTACCTTGCCTTCCTCTTTCCATAATTTAACAACGCTTGCTCCATAGTCAGAACCATGGCTCCTAAGAACACCAATGCTTTTATTCCCTTGGGAAGTCCTCTAATACATTAAAAGTCATTTCAGAATGGCTTTGTCTGTATCATTACCAAAAAAACCTAGGCCTCCTACAATGTATTTCGAATTGTCACTCCTCCTCCTGCCTAAGCCTGCCTAGGACTGAGTGTGTGCATCCAATTCTGCGCTTGGTTAGTCTTTACTCCCCACCCCTTCAGTGAGCATGCGTATGTATGATGCTCATTGCACATACAATTTCATTAATATGCTTTGGTTTGCTTTCAGTTTTCAGATTTCCCCCACTTCCCATCCCTCTTAATTTAATTTTTTCAGGTATAGAATACATTAATATGCTTCAAAATGTGGAAATTATGCCAAAAGCTTTACTTGGAGATAAATCACCTGGTAACTCATCCTTCCTCCCTTCCACCCAGTCACCAGCCCACCCAGTGGCTCCCCTCATAGAAAACAGATCCACTCTTTTCTGGCTTATTTGCCCTGCATTTCTGTTTGTAAAGATAAGTACTATAGATTTATGTCTTCTCCATTCTTAACGCAGAAGGTAGCAAGCTGCAGATTGAGCTAGACTTTTCAAGTGCTTTGCAAGTACCCACCTCTCCTGTACTTAGCAGTGCTGTTGCAAATCTGTGGGACTTCCTGAAAAATGGCTTGTTTTCTGAGCTTTATGCTTTGGCTGCAGCTGAGTAAGATGCCCCACATCACAGAGCATGCAGATAGTGATGTGCAGCTGTTAATTAATGCATGTGATTGCTGCCACGTGGACCCTCAGCCCTGGTCTATGGGACTCTGTCCCTAACTGGTGTCAGGGCTGCCTTGTAATTTTACACCGGGATTTCCATTGTCCTTGGCCTAGCACATATGGCTTATATCAAGCTGGAAGGAGTTTTGCTTTATTTTAAATTGAGATGAAATTCCTATAACATAAAATAACCATTTTAGAGTGGTATTTATTACATTTATTAGGGATGGTTTTATGCTAACATCATCTCTATGTCATTCCAGAGTATTTTCATCACCCTACTGGAGACCATGTACCTATGAAGCAGACACTTACCCTAACCCCAGCCCTTGACAGCCCCTGACCTGTCTCCATGGATTTTTTTTTTTGACATTTCATAAAAGTCGAGTCATATAATATGCAGTCTCTCTTTGTCTAACTCCTTTCATTGGGCCTGGTGTTTTCAGGGTTCATCTATGTTGTAGCCCCTATCAGTGCTGCAGATTTTTAAAGATGAATAATATTCCACAATTTGCTTATTCATTTATCCACTGATGGACATTTGGGGGTTTGGAGTGAAGTTGAGATGGGGAGTGGCTTGTGCTTTGCCTTGTGCTGTGCTACTCCCTCGCCATGGGATCGTGGACAAGTTCTTACATTAGCTTGTGTCCAACTTTATTCATTTGTTGAGTGAAGATAATAATAATAGCTAACTCTTAGGGTGGTTGAGGGATTGAATCAGAAATGTATGCAATGCTCATAGCATAGTCCCTGGCAAATAGGTGTTCTCAGTAAGCAGTGGCAGATTCACTATAGGGTCCTAGGACAAGAGGGCTGGGTAGGGAAGAGAGAGGACACATTTGTGTTGTAGTGTGCATGTTCTGTTGTAGCTGCTGAAACCTTCATGCCTTTTTTTTTTTAAGGCCTATCTGTTTTCTCTGCCGTGTGGCTTGGTGTTTGGGCCCCCACCCCATCACTGAACATGGAATTTTACATTGTAGAAGCAGTTCACTAGACAGAATGTCTGTAGTGGAATGTTACATAATTCACATTTAGATTTGAAGAGCTCATTATAAAAAACCTGACACACTTCAGGAATATTAAATTACTGCAGATTGTGTGGAGCAAAGAAACATTATTGAAGCATTTCAAAATTCTAGACGAGCCTGAATTTAACTGATAGGGTTTCACAGCTTTTACTGGGGAAAATGATTTGAGTTGTCACATGGTTTTTTGCCCTGGAGGACTTTAATCTCCTTAATTATAAAGAAATGAATTTCCTAAATAATTTCAAGTTATTTCACAGCACTTGCTCAACCTCTGGCTTTTGGAAAATTAAAGGGGATATCAGAGCTCATGCCGTGTACATTCTCTGTGCTGTAGCTTCCTTTTTAAAGTTTGTATTCAGAATGAGGCTGGTGTTTCCTTTCATCACTGATATAGAAGTATACTCCTAGACTTCACAAATAATACATGTAACACTTAAATGCAATCACATTTTGTCAAACAAGTGACTCTGGGTATGACCATGGAAGATTGAGAGGTCTTCCATTGTGATTTTTAAAACTGAAGAAGAGAAAATGGTCCAAATCCAATTTATTTTTACATATTGTCTTTTAAGAATCCTCAAAACTGTGTAAAATCCATCTATTTCAGCTCCTTTCTGTATATATTAATTAGATACCTACTAGGTACAGGATCAGCATGATGGAAAGACCTTCGATGCTATCACTTCTGTAATTTGTACTCAGGCTGACCTAACTCTCAGTTGCTGTCTCTGTAAAGTCCAAATAGGACATATGATCAGGTATCAGCCATGTGTCGCTGAGTAAGTAACTCAGGAAAGCATGTACCTGATATTAAGTGCAAGCTTGGAGGTGTGCCAGGTACTCTTCCAGTTACTTTGCATTTGTGATCCCACTTAAGTTTTACAACACCTCCATGGATTTAGCAGCATTTGTCCCAGAGTGAAGATGCAGGGCCTGAAGCAAGAGTAGAATAGCTTCCTCAATATTGTCTGGTGGCTCAGTGGCTGAGACTAAGAACATGGCCAAGACCAGGTCATATGATAGAGATTCCATTTTAGTAGAGGGATCAGAAAATCTCTCTACTTGAAATTTCTCTTTGAGCTGAATTCTGGGGGTTTGGTAGAAGGTCAAGGTAGACTTGATAAGAGGGTTTCCATAGGAAGACAGCAAGCAGCACAAGGAAGAAATGAGAAGATGGGAAAGTGTATCACATTCCTACTACACTGGTACTTCTTTTTACTATTTTGTTTTTGTTGATTTCAAACCTCCTTGCCTATGCACATGTTGATGATTCTCCCTGAAACAATCCTTCATTCATTCACTTCCTCATTCATGCTGCATATGTTTATTGAGAACCCCTTGGTCCTTTCTCTTACCCATATGGCAATAGCATTATTCTTCACGATCCTGCAGAGTAAGGCTTATCCTGTATGCAGCTTTGTTGACTTTTCTAATCAAAGGTGAATCTTTGCTCTTCTGTCCCCAGCATTCTCAGTGTTTGTGCCTGTTTTAGTTCTAGTTGCCTGTGTGTTACTATCCCTGTGACTGACACCTCTGCCAGACTGAGCTTCATTAAAGACAAGAACCAAACTTTGACTGTGTCCCCTTGGCCACCATGGTTGCTCAGTAAATATCGGTAGACACCAATGAGCCAGTGTAGATTCTTAATGAATATTTGTTTCAATAAAATGATACATATTCCTGATAAAATTAATTGTGCCTATATAGGACCAAGGTCAAGACTCTGTCATCTCCTGTGGAATGTGGCCTTTGGGGAGAAAGAGTAGGGAAGGGAGATCAGGGGCCTGGTGGGGGTAAATGGGACTGATATGGCAGAAGTTCTTGTTTTCTGTGGACTCGTCCACAGACCCCACTCTGGGAAGATAATTTTCTGCTTTCTTTAGTTTTATACATACTTTCATACAGTGTTCTTTTGCAAAATAGCTTATTAAAACAAAAACCCAAATCAGGTGGAAAGGTCCTCATATTTAAGCTTTACTATAATTTTATGTGGCTTTTATATGAGCCCTTCTAGTTAAGCCATCTTTAATTGTCGTGATGATGAGGTTTGGGTCATTATTCTCTCTGAGCTGAAAATGGCATGCAAGGTCAGCTCTATGAGATGACACAGTTCTAATTCTGTGGAATGAGCTCAGAATTGGCTGTGGAATTTAAAGATCCATCTCTCCATTTCTAGTAGCTTTTCTTCTTAGTGCTTTTTAAAATGTGGATAAAATGTGATATATTTATCTTCAGTGGGACTCTCAAATATAACCATTAGACAGGTAGTCACTGAGAAAGACTATTGACAAAGATAAAATTTATTCATTTTAAAGGAGATCAGATGAGATAATGTACGTGGAGTAGCAATTGAGGGCATGGTATCTAGTAGGTGCCTAGTAAATACCAGTTGCAATTGAAGTGGTTGTGTTATTGTAATTATCATTATTCTCCTCCCAGCTTTGCCTGAATTTAATAGTACCTGGCATTGTGCAATGCATATTTATTAGCAGATGAATGAATGAAACGTGCTCCTTTTCTTTCCTTTTTTTCTCTCCACATTAAATTCTTGTCTGCTCTCATAGCTGGGGGAAAAGCTGACATAAAAATTGGCTTGCTGGAAAGTTTTTCAGCCCCATTTGTCACCTTAGCCTCAGAACCCAAATGCATGTCAGCTCCATGCCCCTCTGATGCCTGCCAGTGAGGGCCAGAGTACAGGTCACTACCCTCTGATCGGCTGTAGCTACCCAGGCTCTGATCAAGCTTGGCTGACGAATGGCTGCCCTATCCTTGGCAAAGTCTCCATGGGGCTGTCAGGAAACCCATCTTTGTGATATATTTTCTGGGTGGCATCTGGTGCTTGACAATAAGGACATGAGATAAAAAGAGTGCGGTTTTGCCCCTCTCGAAAATTCCAAAGGTTAAAGGTCTATTTTTCCTTTCCTAGTGTGAGAAGCAGTGTTGGAGATAAGCTGATCGTTCCCTTTGCCGAAACTCTCCCAGTGGCCTTAAGAAGCTCTGTGGACAGTTTGTATGCAAAGCCCAGGATTTGCTTGTTCCCGTATGGTTGCCAGTTCACCTCGTGCCTATGATTTCTGTTTAACTTCAAAGGAAGCTTTATTCTGATGTCCTCTCCCCTTGGTTTGCAGCACTCCACAAGAGTGAATGACATGTCCAGCTCGGGGTGTCGTTTCTGAAGGGAGGAGCCTTTCTCTTGGAGAGGATCCTCAATGAGCCTGGCTGAGGCCCGGGATCTCTGTGAAGTGGACTAAGGATTAAGTAGGATGTCAACTGAGACAGAACTTCAAGTAGCTGTGAAAACCAGCGCCAAGAAAGACTCCAGAAAGAAAGGTAGGGGTGCCTTTGCTGCCTTCTTTGTGGCTCATTCTGTGCAAGAATGAGGTTTTATCTGTGGAATGAAATAAAGAAGTATACTTATGATTGCGTATATTTTTAAAGTTACTTGGTATTTTAGTGCTCATTGTATTGTAATGGCTCGCTTTTATTCTCCAGGTAAAATTCAAGATTATTTTCACAATATACAAACCCGTCCTGAATATGCCTTGCATACATCCCTCTGGCATTGACTCTCCCCACTCCCCCAGCTCCTGACCCGATTAATGCTCCAGCATTCTGCCTGTTGTGTTTCACCTTTGCAAGTACCAGTGGGTCTCAGATTCTGCAGCACCAGTCTCCTGCAGGGCTTCTCAAAGTGCAGATTGCTGAGGCCCTTCCCCAGAGCTCCTGATTATGTGAGGAGCAGCCTGAGACTCAGTGTTTCTAACAAGTTCCCAGGTCCTGCAGGCCCAGAGGCCAAACTGTGAGAATCACTGGCGTATTGCCATCAGTCTTGCCCTGACTCTTCACTGTTTCTGTGCTGGTTCCTGCTCATTCCCCAGGTTGAGTGTAGTGGAGCCTCCTGGCGGAGCCCCTCTGTATTCTCTGTTTGAGTGAGTGGCTTCCAAGTTTGTTTCGTTTTGGTAGCACACTGATAATGTTTCACATTTTTCAAATATGCTGCATTTTTGTGGGTCTGCTGTACTGCAACCTCCCTCAGAGCTGGCGCTCTTGTTCACCATGCATAGAGAGTGCTGGACAGATGTTAATGAAGACCAGCACTGGGATGTCTGGAGTGATAAATGAGGGACTCTATCACTTTCCATGTTTTGGTGAGAATTTGGTCCATTTGCTTTGTGACCTTGGCCTTTAGTAAGCCTGTGCCCTGCTGATGTAAGTAAGCTGCTTCTGTGTGTGTGTGTGTGTGTGTGTGTGTGTGTGTGTCCTCTCCCTGTGGTTTCGGCACTTCCCCTGCCTTGTCTACTCAGTCGCATGGAAGGGAATTCAGACAACTCTCAGGTCTTGAAATCTGTCCAGCTGTGTTTGCAAACCAGGATGCCCCTGGCCACTTTGTAGAGTAGTGATTTGCTCACACTGTCACTGTGCCTGCCTGGTCATGTTTTGTGACGGCAGTTGTCTGACACTCTGTATGCAGCAGGGGACGTAAATGCGATACGTATGAAGCTCTTGGACTGCCAAAACCCCAGGAAGCACCATAAATTTTGTTTTTCATGTTTATTTGAAGCATGGATATTTTGGAGGAAGTCTATTGTATTGGCTAAAACTTAGTGGAAACCTTGGATTTTTATGCACCACGGTCTAAGAATGATAGAAAAGAAGCAAGAGAGTGGGAGAATGGTGCCTGAGAGAAGGGCTATGTGGGAAGAATAAAACGACTTGGAGATCTGGTGTGTGCTAGAATCCAAATGCCTTTTCACTTGGAACTGACAGGTTGTATTTTGCTTCAGATTTAACCTTTCTGCTAAACCTGTGCTCTTGAATGTTTAATGCATTAAAAATTGTATCCTAGTGCATATTTTTCATTATTAATTTTAACATACAAAACCAGAAGCGTTCCAAAGAGAGAATCCAGGTTGTCAGGACACTGGTTTAGTTGGAGATTTGGGATGACGGGGGTTGAAGGTGACCCCTTTGGAAACTCCTCACCTTCACATTCCAAGAAGCTTTAAAATTAGCATACATTTGCACGAGGAAAGTCCTTTCCTGCATAGTTAATGCCACAGAGTCAGAGCAGGCAGACCTGGATTCAGAGTCCGGCTATGCGACATCCTCGCTGTGTGACTCCTTAACTTCTCTGAATCTCGTTTTCTTCTATAAAATGAGGATATGATAGGACAAAGCTCAAGTTCCACTATGAAGATTAATTGAAATAAAACAAGTGAAACACTACACTACTTGGCATATGCTCATTAAAGGTTATCTGTATTCCTCATCTTCCTCTTTTATTCTCCCTTCGCCCCCTTTCTCTCCTCCTACTTCTCTTCCCTTCCTTTCCTGCCATTTTCCTTCATCCTTTATCTCTTTTTTCTATTTTTCTTCTCCGGTCACCCATCCTGTCTTCATCAGCCGCGTCAGGTGGCTTAAGTAACCAAAAGGCATTCCTCACACATCCGGAGGCTTGAAGCCTGCTAGGCAGACGGCAGCCGATTTCATTCTTGGAGAGGTCTCTCCCCCTGGCTTCTGGGTGACTTGCCATCTAGCTGTGTCCTCTCTTGGAAGACAAAGACCAGAATCCTGTCTTCCTCCCCTCCTTCCCCCTTCCCTGCCTACCTCCTTCTCCTTGTTTTGCCACCGTTCCTATTACAAGGGCCCACCCTCCTAGTCTCATCTCACCCTCATTACTTCGCTACACTTCTGTCTCCAGATACCACCACACTGGGCTTAGAGCTTCCATAGGACTTTAGTTGGGACCTGACCTGAATATTTGGTTTATAGCACACCCTGCTTCCTTCCCCTCTCTCCCTTTCATCCCCTCCTTCTCCCGCTCCGTGTCTTCATCATCACATTTTCTTCCTTCAGCCTATTTTATAGTCAGGGGATCTTAAAAAGTATATTGTTGATTTGCCCCACAGCCCTATTTTACCGTTGTTTGTCATTGTGCAGTAGTGATAAACAGTTTTTATTCCAGATATACTTTTCTGAACCACAGTACCATGGAATCACGTACATGCATTAAAAGGAGAAAGTGAACTATAGGATCAGAACTGATTCATTGCTGATTCTTGAGTTTTTGACTGTGAATCGACAGATACTCTATTAAACATATGTTGCTGACTTGGTCAAAATATAGAGATCTTTAAAAGGAATAAGCGGTATATAAGATGATCTTGAATCTTGAATGTGAAAATGTTGTTGAACTCTTTTACTGTCTTCAACACTTTTTGGATTTTCTGTAGATACAGCGTTGAACCAGCAGATAAGTTTCTGCGTGTGTTTCAGTCTTTAAGTATTTAATCTATTTTTTCTATCTCATTGCATTGGCTGGGTGTGTCAGTACAGTATTTAATGAGAGTAGGTATACTTGTTCCCAAATTTATAAAAATGCTTCTCAACACATTTAAGTGTAATATTTAAGTTTTTACTAAAGATTCATTATTAGTTCATTTTTATGTATTTTCTAGGAAGTATTTTTGCACATTGGATTTTACCACATGTATTTTCTGTACTTACTTCAACTAATATATATGTATGCATACATAGATATGTATTTATACATGTATACATACACATATATGTTCTTGAAAATTTTTTATTATGGTGAATTTGAGTGGTAGATTTTCTCACTTTCATTTCTGGGGTCAACTTCACTGCTTACAGTATATTGTTTTCTGTCCTCTGCTATATTGATTTCCAAGGTTAAGAATGAGTTTTTATCAATATTCATCAACAGGATTGGTGTGCAACTTTGTTTTCTTAGAAAACCTTGTGTCTGGTATTAGTCAAAGTTATGTCCTCATATAAGGGTGTTGGTAGGAAGCAGAGACTGAATCATATGTAGGCCTCTTTCTGGAAAAAAAAAATATTTCCTTTTTTAGTAATTTCATTTAACTTTTTAGATGCCATATGTGCTTATTACTGAAATGAGAGAAGCAAAGTCATCTGTATAATCCCATGAACCAAAATAGCTTCCATTAACATTCAAAGTTGCTTCCTTTTGGACTGACTTTCCAGAATGCTGTGTGGTTGAGTCATGCTATCCAGACCATTTTACATCCTCCTTTGTTATTTGATGTGATATCATAACTACATTTCCTATATCATCTCGTGATATTACAGAATAAAAGAGCTTTTCTCCCTTTGACAAGATTTAGATGGTTCCTAGGGCAGATGTTTTACTTTCTGAAAAAGAACGCCTGCTGATGTGTCACCTACCGTGAGAAAGAGTGGTGTAAAGGAAGTTCAGAGGCCCATTAGAGCTTCTCATAAGCTGTCACCTGATTCTTTACTCCAGGCTGATGAAAGCCAGGCTGGTTTTAAATACAAGTCACACGGGGACATATTTCATAATGAAATGAGTTTCAGGACAGGCTATGTATGAGATGTAACTAGAGTATTCACAATTCAAATAACAGGTGGAAGTAGTGAAAAATAAAGTTATTTTCTTCATTTCATTTTTATTTGATTGTGCCCCTACACATACTGCTTGTCAAGCAGTGATTGTCGCAGGAGTGGAATTTGATGGAGGGCCCGAGGAAAACAATGTGCATTTTCATGTTGATTACCTGCTACCAAAGGGGGAGAAGGAGCTGCCATGATGCTTGTTATTTGTAACCCCAGTATTAGGGCATCCATAGAAGGCTGTGATGGAGGACTGGTCCCCTGGCAGGGAACAGATGCTTCTGAGGGTGGTTGCTGGTGTTCTTTAGGCAGCACCATCTGGGGAGCTTAGTGTAGTGGAAAGACTCCTGGCTTCAGAGCCAGGCACACCTGGATTTTAGTCCTAATCTCTTATCTGCTTGGTGACCAGAGATAGAAAAGTATGTAATTTCATTTATCTTTAAAGAAGTGTGTGTGTGTGTGTGTGTGTGCGCGTGAGTGAACACATACATGCATATGTGTGTGTGTGTTAATACTTCCACAAAGTCTTTAAAAGTCATTAAACATGATATCTCCAGTCTGCCAGGCCATTGGCTTGGTAGTGATCATTTTCCTGTCTTTTTCTGAGACTTAGCATTGTCTCCTTATTTTCTAGAAACACTGGAAATAACTTTCTCACTTTTCTATACCCGAGGACAGTCAGTGAACAGCAGCAGCAAAGAGATGCCATATTATCTTCTCCCAGCAGGACTGTGCCCCAAGAATCAAGGCCCAAGTGATATCAAAGAGAAAGTAGAAATCCTGAGACACATGCTTCTCCTACAGGGTTATATCAAACCGAGTCTGGAACCCTGCTTCTGCGCCTCAGTAGCTGTATTAACCTGTGGCAGTTTCTTGGAAAACTCCAGCTCATTTAGGATAAAGAATGGTTTTGGAAATACCATACTCAAAATCAG